AGATGAGGAAGAGATTTGTTTAAGATCACATAGCAATCCACAGCTGACTCAGGACCAGAACCTGGTTAGAATCAGGACCAGGTTTCCTAATTCTAAGTCCAGTGCTCTGCCACATTCTAGTGCCCTATTTCACAGTTCTATAGCCATAACAATCATCCTCAAAGGGGGGCGGTCAGTGAGGAGTGAATAAAACAGACCTTCCTGCTGGCAAAGATGTGTGGCCAAACTATGAATCTGCAAACAAAAGAAGGGAGGTAATTGCAGAAACATATAACAGCAGCAGAAACCTCTGGTGCAACCAGCGTCACCTCCCGCCCAGTGCCTGCCAGTTCACAGCAGCCGGTCAGAAAGCCTGCAGGCTTGCAAACGGGACAGACCACAGGAGTGGAATCTATACACCAGCCTCTGTGCCCTGCCCAGGCTTGACTCAGAGGCAGCGACAAATGCATTGGGCTGGTTAGTTGATCGGTACACTGAACATGAATCCAGGCAACAACCGGGCAGTGACTTCCCTGAAGACTGAAGTCACTTCCTGTTTGGAACCTCCAGTCCTGAGATGCATTCCCCCACAGCTCAGGCTTCCATGCAGGATCAAAAGCAACTCCTGGGGCAATGAAAGAAATGTAAGGAAAAGCCTATGTGTGGTTGAGAGAGCCTTGAATGAAGTCTGAAATGTGACACTTTTTCTTTTCTTTTTTTTTTTTTTTTTTGATGTACAGTTTTGCTGTGTCACCCAGGCTGGAGTGTAGTGGCACAATCTCAGCTCACTGCAACCTCTCTGCCTCTCAAGCTCAAGTGATTCTTGTGCCTCAGCCTCCTGAATAGCTGGGACTACAGCTATGCACCACCACACCCAGCTAATTTTTTGTATTTTAGTATAGACAGGATTTCATCATGTTGCCTAGGCTGGTCTTGAACTTCTGAGCTCAGGCAATCCACCCATCTCAGCCTCCCAAAGAGCTAGGATTATAGGTGTGAGCCACCACACCTGGCCAACACTTCTATATAAGTATCAAATCAGAGTATGAATGAATTCAGCATTCCAATCACATTCTTATGCAATGCCTGAATCACTCTCACAGAAAATCCTTACTATAAAAAAAGCATTATAGGCTGGGCACGGTGGCTCATGTCTGTAATCCCAGCACTTTGGGAGGAGGAGGTGGGCAGATCACCTGAGGTGGGGAGTTCAAGACCAGCCTGACCAACATGGAGAAACTCCGTCTCTACTAAAAAATACAAAATTAGCCAGGCGTGGTGGTGTGTAATCCCAGCTACTCTGGAGGCTGAGGCAGGAGAATTGCTTGAACACGGGAGGTGGAGGTTGCGGTAAGTCGAGATCATGCCACTGCACTTCAGCCTGGGTGAAAAAAGCAAAACTCTGTGTCAAAAAAAAAAACAAAAACATTATATTGTCACTATAGGAAATACTCATAATTCTGGTTTAGGTGAGTTATAGCAAGCTTAGAAATAATTGGATTTGTACAGATAAGGGAACCTTACCCCTTAAATGCCAAAAATTTTAAACAGTATTTTCATGACATGTGAAATATACATGTTTATATTACATGTTCGCCAGATTTCTCAGCCCAGTGATTCCTTTTTCCAGCTTACTCAGGGTAATCTCAATCACATCCTTCATTATGTTATGGTATTTTGTTTTCCTGTCTCCTCTCAGGATTTCAGGCCTTCAGCAGGCACTTCCTTTGTCAGTTTGAGCTTCTTCCCTCCCTCCCCCACTGCAATATATCTTCCTGTTTCTTCTAATCTGTGCAGCTAGGCAACCAGATTACAGGATTCTTTAGAGCTATGTTATAAACAAGGCAATAGAAAAGGTCTGGAGAATAACAGACCTTTAAGGCTGTAAGGCTACCTCTGCGTGTTTGAGGGAGTTTGCAACTGTTTCTTCCATCCAGATTTGGAGCAGATTTTCAGAGAGCAGAGGGTGCCAGAGGCACAGGATAAATGCTGTGCTATGGAATATCAGCCTGGGATCAGGCCATGCCTCAAGCCCCCTGTCCCCCACTCAACTCCCTAGAGCGCCAAAGGCTTTGAGCGACAGAAAATTGGGAGGAATAATTAGGAATAAAGATGAAGCCACACCAGATTCTTCTTTCAGAAAATGAAATAACTGCTGACAAAGCAGGGGTAACACTAGCCTGGGGAATTTGCTCTAACCTCCACAGAGGAGCATCTCTGCATTGTGCCTTACAGAACTGTAAGCATTGAGGAAATTGAAAATGTGGTTTTGGCCGGGTGTGGTGGCTCATGTCTGTACTCCCAGCACTTTGGGAAGCCGAGGTGGGTGGATCACTTGAGGTCAGGAGTTCGAGACTAGCCTGGCAAATATGATGAAACCCTGTCTCTACTAAACATATAAAAACTACCTAGATGTGGTGGTGGGCACCTGTAATCCCAGCTCCTCAGCAGGCTGAGGCAGAAGAATCACTCGAACCCAGGAGGCAGAGGTTGCAGTGAGCCAAGATCGCACCACTGCACTCCAGCCTGGGGGCTGGAGTGAGATTGCATCTTCAAAAAAAAAAAAGGAAAATGTGATTTATCAGGCATAGGCAGACGCTGAGGGAAACCCAATGACATAAAAAATATCCTAATCGGAAGTAAACTAAGGTGAATTTGGGTTTCATGATTGTAATAATACTTGAGATCTCTGTGGTCTTCCTTACAAACCTCGGGGGAAAAACAACACATGCTATTTATTTATTTATTTATTTATTGAGATGAAGTCTCACTCTGTCGCCAGTCTGGAGTGCAGTGGCACAATCTCAGCTCACTGCAACCTCCACCTCCCTGGTTCAAGCGATTCTCCTGCCTCAGCTTCCCGAGTAGCTGGGATTACAGGCACGCACCACCATGCCCAGCTAATTTGTGTATTTTTAGTAGAGACAGGGTTTCACCATGTTCGCCAGGATGGTCTCGAACTCCTGACCTCGTGATCTGCCCACCTCAGCCTCCCAAAGTGCTGGGATTACAGGCATGAGCCACCATTGCACCAGGTAACACATGCAATTTAAAATGTCACAGCAATAACCATCATGTCTCATATTTTTACTACTTAGAAACCACTTTCATAGTCACTAACTCATCTGGTAATCTATAGAGAAGGCCATTCTCCCTCCCATCCTAAGCTGTCACTTGCTACTCTAGGAAGGAATACTTGAAATTTCTCTGTTTCTATTGTCTATAACATTCTTGGCAGCTAAATGCCCACTGCATCCCCATACTTTGTAGGCAAGGATTACCACAGGGTTCTGCTGGGAGGGCTGGGCCAGATGCCAAAGGCCCAGCCAGACACAGGATATCAAAGGATGATTGTTTAGATGCTGGGGTTCCTGCCTTTTAGGGACACCTAAGTACAGAGTTCTGCCTCTGCCAGATCATTCACCCCCATACAATGCACAGTAGTCTCCCTCAGCCTGTCTCAGTGTCATTTTTAGCCAATGAAGGAGGTAATAATGCAGAATTCACAGGTCATCATTTCATTACTTTGGTCTGGATATCAAAGAACCTGCAGGATAATGATGATGGAAAAGTTATTTATCATCTCTGAATCTCAATCTGTCCATTCTTAAGATAGGAAGGGTAAAAGTCACCCCTACCTAGTCTCCAGATATTTGGAGGTGATAAATGAAGAACTACAGTGGAAAAGTTTAATTTTTAAGGTGAATTACTTTGAACTCCTTGGAAAAATCACGTAAATCTAACAGATTCTAACTGGCTCAGAGTTATAAATCTTCAGTCACTTAAAAGTTTTGCTAGAAACCACATAAAATACCTGAAATTAAAGATACAGAAAAGGGAATAAAGCTTAGGATTTGATATTGAGAAAGGGAAGGAAACTTAGCAAAGAAAGTGGCAACCAACAGCAGAGATTGAAATAGAAGAGGAAGACAGGAAAATGTGAAATTGAAGAGTTAAAATTTTGTTACTGGTAATGAAAGGGGAAATATAGGCATAACTTGAAGATGCTGTGGATTGGGTTCCAGACAACTGTAACAAAGTGAATATTGTAATAAAGTGAGTCACACATATTTTTTGGTTTCCCAGTGAATATCAAAGTCATGTTTATGCTATACTATAGTGTTTTAATTGTGCAATAGCATTGTATCTAAAAAAAATGCCTTAATTTAAGATACTTTATTGCTAAAAGAAAATACTAATGATCATTTGACCTTCAGCATGTCATAATCCTTTTGCTGGTGGAAGGTCTTGACTTGATGTTGATGGTTCCTGACTGATCAGGGTGGTGGTTGCTGAAGGCTGGGGTGGCTGGGGCAATTTCTTAAAATAAGACAACAATGAAGTTTGCCACATCAATTGATTCTTCCTTTCCAAAAGCTTTATTTTCTTTTCTTTTTTTTGAGACAGAGTTTCACTTTTTTTTTTTTTTTTTAAAGACAGAGTTTCACAGTCTGGAGTACAGTGGCAGGATCTCGGCTCTCTGTAATTTCTACCTCCCAGGTTCATGTAATTCTCATGCCTCAGCCCCCTGGGTAGTTGGGATTACAGGCACCTGCCATCACGCCTGGCTGATTTTTTGTATTTTAGTAGAGATGGGGTTTCACTGTGTTGCCCAGGCTGGTCTCGAATTCCCGAGCTCAGGCAATCCACCTGTCTCAGCCTCCCAAAGTGCCAAAATTACAGGCATGAACCACCATGACTGGCCCAAAAGATTTCTTTATAGCATGCAATGCTTTTTGATAGCACTTTACTCACAGTGAAACTTCTTTCAAAATTGGAGTCAGTCCTCTCAAACCCTGCCACTGCTTTATCAACTAAGTTTATGTCCTATTCTACATCCCTTGTTGTCATTTCAACAATGTTCACAGCATCCTCACCAGGAGTAAAATTCCACCTCAAAAATCTACTTTCTTTGCTCATCTATAAGAAGCAATACTCATCTGTTCAAGTTTTATCATGAGATTGCAGCAATTCAATCATATCTTCAGGCTCCACTTCTAATTCTAGTTCTCTTGCTATTTCCACCACATCTGCAGTGACTTCCTCCACTGAAGCCCTGAACCCCTCAAAGTCGTCCATGAAGGCTGGAATCAACTTTGTATTAGCCCATTCTTGCATTGCTATAAAGAAATGCCTGGGACTGGTTAATTTATAAACAAAAGAGGTTTATTTGGCTCATGGTACTGCAGGCTGTACAGGAAGCATGGCAGCATCAGCCTCTGGGGAGGACTCAGGAAGCTTCCAATCATGGCAGATGGCAAAGGAAGAGCGAGTCATTTCACATGGCCATAGTAGGAGAAAGAGAGTGGAAAGGAGGTGATCCACACTTTTAAGCAACTAGATCTCATAAGAATGTGATGACAGCAACTAAAGGGGGTGGTACTAAAGCATGAGAAACCACCCCCGTTATCCAACCACCTTCCTCCAGGCCCTAGCTCCAACACTGAGGATTACAATTTGATATGCGATTTAGGTGAGGACACAGATGCGAAGCATATCAAACTTCTCAACTCTCCTGTTAATGTTGGTTGGTTTTCTTGTTTGTTTGTTTTATTTTTTGTTTTGAGATGGAGTCTCACTGTGTTGCCCAGGCTGGAGTGCGGTGGCACTATCTCAGGTCACTGCAACCTCCACCTTCTAGGTTCAAGAGATTCTCCTGCCTCCTCCTACTGAGTAACTGGGATTACAGGTGCCCACCACCACACCTGGCTAATTTTTTATATTTCTAGTAGAGATGGGATTTCACCATGTTGGCTAGGCTGGTCTTGAACTCCTGACCTCAAGTGATCCACCCACCTTGGCCTCCCAAAGTGCTCAGATTACAGGCCATGTTGGTATTTTGACCTCCTTCTATTAATCACAAGTGTTCTTAACGGCATTTACAATGATGAATCCTTTCCAGAAGATTTTCAGTTTCCTTTACCTAGATCTATCAAAGAAATAGTTCTATGGCACCCTTACAAAATGTAGTTTTAAAAAAATAGGACTTGAAAGTCTATCCATCGGCAACAGAATGGATGTTGTGTTAGCAGATATGAGAACAACATTAATCTCCTTGGGCATAGCCGTTAGAGCTCTTGGGTGACTAAGTGCATTGCTAATGAGCCATAATATTTTGAAAATAATCCTTTTTTCTGAGCAATAGGTCTCAACAGTGGGCTTAACATATTCAGAAAACCATGCTGTAAATAGACATGCTGTCATCCAGGCTTTGTTGTTCCATTTATAGAACACAATCAGAATTTGGCATAATTCTTAAGGACCCTAGGATTTTTCAGAATGATAAATGAACATTGGCTTCAATTTAAAGTCACCAGCTGCATTAGCTCCTAACAAGAGAGTCAGCTTGTCCTTTGAAGCTTTGAAGCCAGGCACTGACTTCTCCTCTCCAGCTATTAAAATCCTAGATGCTGGCCCAGCGTGGTGGCTCACGCCTGTAATCTCAGCACTTTGGGAGGCCAAGGCAGGCAGATCACTTGAGGTCTGGAGTTCAAGACCAGCCTGGCCAACATGGCGAAACTCTATCTCTACTAAAATGTATAAAAATTAGCCTGGTGTGGTGGCGGGCACCTGTAATCCCAGCTACTCAGGAGGCTGAGGCAGGAGAATAGCTTGAACCCTGGAGGCGGAGGTTACAGTGAGCTGAGATGGTGCCACTGCACTCCAGCCTGGGCAACACAGTGAGACTCCGTCTCAAAAAAAAAAAAAAAAATTCCTAGATGCCATCTCTTTCTAATATAAGGCTGTTCTGTCTACATGGAAAAGCTGTTATTTAGTGCAGCTACTTTTATCAATGATCTTGGTTAATCTTCCAGATAACTTGCTGCAGCTTCTCCATCAGCACTTGCTGCTCCACTTTGTACTTTCGTGTTATCGAGACAGCTTCTTTCCTTAAACCTCATAAACCAATCTCTGCTAGCTTCACACTTTTCTTCGGCAGCTTCCTCATCTCTCTCAGCCTTCATAGAATTGAAGAGGGTTAGGGCCTAGCTCTGGATTAGGCAGGCTTTGGCTTAAGGGAATATCATGGCTTAAGGAAACATTTGATCTTCTATCCAGACCACTAAAACTTTCTTTATATTGGCAATAAGGCTGTTCACTTTCTTATAATTCACATGCTCATTGGAACCATACTTTAATTTCCTTCAAGAACTTTTCCTTTGCATTCACAACTTGGCTAACTGGCACAAGAGTCCTCGCTGGGCTTTTGACATGCCTTCCTCACTTAGCTTAGTCATTTCTAGCTTTTGATTTAAGGTGAAAGATATGTGACTTTTCCTTTCACTTAAACACTTAGAAATCATTGTAGGGTTATTAATTGGCTTAATATCAATATTGTTATATTTCAGGGAATAGGGAGGCCCAAGGAGAAGGAGAGAGTTTGGAGAAGGGCCAGTCAGTGGAACAGTCTGAATACATAAACACTTATCAATTAAGTTCACTGTCTTATCTGGGCACAGTTTGTGGCACCCCGAAATAATTACAGTGATAACGTCAAAGATCACTGATCACAGCTCACCATAACAGATATAATCATAATACAAAAGTTTGAAATACTGAGACAATTACCAAAATGTAAGACAGAGACAAAGCTAGTACATGCCGTTGAAAAAATGGTGCCAACAGACTTGCTCAACACAGGGTTGCCACAAACCTTCCATTTGTGAAAAACACAATATCTGCAAAGTGCAATAAAGCCAGGCACAATAAAACGAGGTATGCCTGTATAAACAGCAACTGTCAAGTGATGTTTTCCAACTAGGATAAAAAGATTACATAAGGAATTTTTTAAAGGAATTCTATCTGGAAGAACTGAGCAACAATTAAGAATGCATTATAAAGGATATGATACTTACATATGTAAAATAAATTTACATGGTAAATTCCAACCAGAGTGAATGCTGCAGCTGGGTGTTCAAAATCTTTTAACCATACTGAGTTTGGCAGTGATTCTATACAAGGATATGATTTATATTCAAGGACTGACTATTTGGGTATCTCATCCAGATTCAAGATATCAAGACCCACATGGAATACAGCAATGAAGCCAAAGGAAGGAAAGGGAGAACTAATCATCATGGCCCTATTTCAGATGTAGCCCCTTTACCCATCTTACATGTCTGCACCTTTCATGCCTCTAAGCCAAGTCAAACAGTTATGCACACAGTGGATAACTTACGTCTGGCCTAAGGGCCTACCCTTCAGAAAGGTACACATGCTGGAGGCAAGGAAGCTGAGCTGCAATTCTGGCAGATTTGTACTGATGGGTTGATCTACAATGACTCCAGCCACTCCTTTTCTGTGGAAGACACTAAAGGCAGTAAGACGATAGTATTTCTTTAGTTTGCTCACCCCTGAGATTCAAAGGGAAAAGAATGACAGCAGGAAATTGTTGCAAGAGCTGGGCATCCAAAGTCACCAAATACCATAGGATTGTGTGTGAATGTGTGCGTGTGTGTATGCATGTACATACACAAACACTAGTATACTCTTGTGGTATGGTTCAGTTAAACACTATGAGTCAGGTCAGGAGCAGCCAACCACTTTTTACCGCTCAGGTTCCTTCTGGGAATTTGGTTTTTACTTCTAGTGAGAAATCTGGAAAAGGCTCCACTGGTTATCCTTCTCCTGGGAGAAAGACCACATGAATTTTCCTTCTCTCAGGACACTGGGAAATTCTGTTCACTTAGTCTTGTTAGAGGGTTTATCAGGAGTTAATTTATGGTGACACAGCCATGAGATATTAAGAGTCCCTACAGAATTAGGTACAGCCTGCCTCATTCTTATAAGGTCAACCTCATAAAGAACAAATATCTCACTTTCTATTTAAGAACTCCTGTTTGATCTGGGGGCACTTCTTATGTTCTTATGAGTATGACGCTTGGGACAGAAGTAGAAGGGACAATGTGTGTTTCATGGTGAGTAATGAGAGAGGGAAAGGACTGTAACTGACAAACAAGTGAGTACTGCCTGTGCTGCCTCCTCGCCTTGGGTAAAACAAGCACTGTCTGTTAGACTGAAGAGGTGGTCTGATGTTCACAATCCAGACTCGTACAGAATTAGAAAATCATCACCAGCTATACGTTCCTGGTGAGTAGGGTGGGAAGTTAGTGGTCACTTGGTACCGAGGGGGTATAGCAGAGACTATTAATAGACATTAAGTCTACTAGGTATGCCTCTACATATTCCAGTCTTCCTCGTGGTTAGATTGGGGCTAGGTGATAAGTTCTTGACAATGAAATATATGTGGAAGTTCTGTGTTACCTCTGGGATGAGGGGATTAAGGCACATGGGCTTCCAGTTCTCCTTTTCTTTGCTATGGTGTCCTTGGAGGTCATCTGTTCCAGATGGCATGGCTACAAGATAGAAGAGGGCCAACCACTCTATATCAAATATTACGTGAGCAACACATAAACCTTTGTTATTTGTCACTATATCAGTCTAGCCTGTCCTGACTAATACAGGCACCAAAGCAGTGCTCCATTTAGGATATCAGAAACTTAGTGCAAGAAATTAAGCTACTCACACCCACAATGTATAGTTCCTTTTAGAGACACAAACTCTACCAGGATGATCAGATTTCATGTTTCCCAAGACTCTCTTTGACAAAACTTTGTCTCTGAAGGAGAATGGTTTGTCATGAAATAGTAACTTCAAGTGTAGAGGCGATCTCTCCTAAGGACACACATCTTCCAAATATCACAAAGCATCCAAAAGTTACTGAATACCTCATGAAATCTCTTCCTAGGCACCTATCATCTCCTTCTGCTACTTCCCATTTTACTGATGACACTGGACACAAATGCTGGCTTGTAGCCTTTATACACAGAACTCCCTCATACATTAGGTTCCCATAAAAAACAGGAGACACAACTAAGTTTCTATTTATCAAAGCTATCTGATAGTGGCAAGCACTTGTAGTCCCAGCTACTTGGGAGGCTGAAGCAGGAGGATTGCCTGACCCCAGGAATTCAAGTCCAGCTTTGGCGACATAGCAAAATTCCATCTCAAAAAAAAAAAAAAAAAAAAAAAAAATCTCACCATCTCATAGGCCCTGGTTCAGCATACTTTTAAAGTTTAGAATAAGAGGGAGAGGAACATCCTTCATTCACTGTCTCCACGATGTCTAACATTCGCCTCAATCTCTCATTGAGCCAGCAGGTCCAGCATAAGATAGGAAGCACAACACTTCATTTATTTATTTATTTTTTTTGAGACAGAACCTCACTCTGTAACCCAGGTTGGAATGCAGTGGAATGATCTCCATTCACTGCAACCTCTGCCCCCCAGCTCAAGAGATCCTCCTGTCTCAGCCTCCCGAGTAGCTGGGACTACAGGCATGCACTACCACATTTGGCTATTTTTTTTTTTTTTTTTTTTTTGTATTTTTGGTGGAGACAGGGTTTCACCATGTTATCCAGGCTGGTCTCAAACTCCTGACCTCAAGTGATCCACCTGCTGTGGCCTCCCAAAGTGTTGGGATTACAGGTGTGAGCCACCATGCCTGGCCAGGAAGCACAACAGTTTAAACCTTGAAAGCAAAAGGGCTGGAACAACTTTGGCTTGACACTCTTCACAAAAGAGGGAAGACCTCTCTTAGCTATTTTTCCCTATAACCAGTTGAAAGCTCTGCCTTTCGGAGCATCTACTTACTGAGCTGACAGGGACCCCACTTTGCTTATTGCAAAAGACCAAACTATGTCTTTAAAAATGTTTCTTTAAAAAGCAGGTCACATCACCAATGAAAGTTTGAGAACTTACATACACAGAGAAATATTTTTCTTGGGTTACTGACATGATAAAAATTTCGATATATTCTCCCCCTAAAGGAACTGGTGAGAAGGCCTGTCTGGTGGTAAGGGGCCAGACAAAAGCCATGGCTTGGGTCGTGTGTACAAGCTTACCCCTTGCTCCACAGCTGGAATCTGGTTCTGTTGGGAGAAGCCAGTCAGAGAAGTCCTTACATCTCTGACCCCAAAAACCTTTTCTCAGCACTGCCCAACACTCCTGTTATACAACATGTAAAATAAATAATCAACCTTAAAAGTCAGGCAGCCAAAGCTCTACTCGAATAATAAGCCCTTTTACAAACTGCTTGTCATCTGCCAAAATCAGCTCCAAAGGAACACTAGGAACTCAAAATTCTATTGTTCTCATTAACTACTTGGGGGAACTAGACAAGCTTCAGTGGCTTTATTGGTTTTCTGAGAGACAAGCGACATTAAGATTTTCATCTACCTGCACCTTGTCTTTGATCTCAATAACTTGAATGTAGCTCCAGTCCCACCATCTCTGAGAGGCCTCTGTTAAAACGGTGAGCTAGAAAGGGGCCCCAGCCCTTTCTTAGAACATATGCTATTCTCTACTTTTCTCCTGCCTGATTGTTAGGGTGGGAAAGAAAGAATCTAAATGCCAACTTTTTCAGAAAATTCATTGAAAGGGAGGGAGAGGGCCAGACAGTAGCATCTGAAATTTAGTCTTCTGCTGGTGAGGGCCCTCTGGCTTAAGTTCAAAAGGAAAGAGGCGCTTCGCCCAAGGAAAGCTATTTAAAACTGTTTGGTACACTTTGGAAAGCCTCATGGTACACCGTTGGCCCAGAACAGGTTGTCTGGGTTTCAAAATGCAGGGTGAGGTTTTTTTTTAGGCATCGGACAAGATTTATTGCATGACAATTCCACATTTTCTGAGAAGCATTAAAATTTATCTGAGGCCCCTAAACTAGACGGCAGTATCAACACTGGTCTTGGTTATATGCATTTATCATAAAATTCACTCAAATAGCAGATTGAAGTTTCCATAAAATAATTAGCCCTGTTTCTATTTCCATGCAAAAAGGACAGACAGAAGCTATTCAAACATTCTTTTTCAAACCAGATGTGAACAAAGAATCCTCAAGTCTAGATGCAATGTTGAATCCAGTAACAGTGCTCCTAAAACCAACCAGATCTCTCAAAAGGCAAGGGAGGGAGGGGGAGGTGAATGGCAGTGCAGTCACTGTGCTGCCAAGTGAGACAGAGAGCATCACTGTCTGGAGGTCTCTTGTTAAGTGGTATTATTAAGAAAATCTTCCAGGTAAATGCTTTCAGTGAAACAAAAACAAACAAACAAAAGAAAATCTGATAGGAGAAATCTGTTATAAAACTCATCTCTGATGAACCATAAAAGGGATTTCAATGTGTACTTGACATTAATATCCCAGGACTGTCAACCCACAGATGCGAAGCTGAGGATTTCCCTTCTCTATAAGGCCTTACTACCCTGCCTTTTCCTATTACTATTCCCTCCTGTTAAATTGGTCCCTTATTCTGTTAGGTTCCATACATATGGATTTGATCACACTTGTTTCCTTCACTAGCTTGTAGGTTTTCTGAGAGCAGGGACCCAGCCTTATTCATCTCTGCACCTCCATTGTTAGCACAATTCCTGGAACATTGTAGGTGGTCATTAAATCATTTAATTGCTGATAATATTAATAATACTTATAGTTGGCTGGATGCCGTGGCTCACGCCTGTAATCCCAACACTTTGGGAGGCCAAGGCGTGTGGATCACGAGGTCAGGATTTTGAGACCAGCCTGACCAACATGGTGAAACCCTGTCTCTACTAAAAATACAGAAAAAAAATTAGCTGGGTGTGGTGTCAAGCAATTGTAATCCCAGCTACTCAGGAGGCAGAGGCAGGAGAATCGCTTGAACCCAGGAGACAGAGGTTGCAGTGAGCCGAGATGGTACCACTGTACTCCAGCCTGGGTGAACTGCGCTGCAGCCTGGGTGACAGAGCAAGACTCCATCTCAAATAATAATAATAGTAACAATACTTATAGTTAACTTTTGAGTGTTCAGAAACTCTATGTTTAACATCCCATATTTCTCCTCATTTTCCAGGTGAGAGAGCTGAGGCACTGAGATGTTAAGTATCATGCCTAATCTCATCCAGCAAATAAGTGGCAAAGCAACAATACAAACTAGGTGATCGGCTCCAGAATCTTCATTTTTTTTTCTTTTTTTTTTGAGACCAAGTCTCACTCTGTCACCCAAGCTGGAGTTCAGTGGCACAATCTAGACTCACTGCAACCTCTGCCTCCTGGGTTCAAGCAATTCTCCTGCCTCAGCCTCCCAAGTACCTGGGATTACAGGCGACCCACCATGCCCAGCTAATTTTTAGTAGAGACGGGGTTTCACCATATTAGCCAGGATGGTCTCTATCTCCTGACCTCATGATATGCCTGTGTCGGCCTCCCAAAGTGCTGGGATTATAGGCGTGAGCCACCGTGCCCAACCCCATTCTTAACTACTACACAGAGTGGTACACAGGAATGAATGAGTGATCTCATAAAAGGGTTATATACCTATGAAACTATTAAACAAGAACTTAAATTGGTTTGATTTAGAAACCTGGTTTATTCACACAAAAATGGATTAAGTACCTAGTACTCTCTGCCAAGCCCAGCAATATGCATTAGTGGTACAAAGACAAAAATATGGTCTTATTCCTCAGCGAGAAGAGAGACAAATGACAAAAGATCACTAAGCACTTACTATGTGCTGGGCACTGTTCTAAGTACTTCACATTGTTAATCTCTTTAATCTTTACAAAATCCCTATTATGAAACCCTTGTTATATTGTTATTATTAAATTGAGATGAGACAGATAAGAAACTGAGGCTTGGGGAGGTTAAGCAACTTGCAAGAGCCATCATTTGAATACAAACAGCCTAGCTCCAGAACCCATGCTCTCATCACTACCCTCTACTGCCTTTTCAGTTTACAACCACACAACCATAACACAATGTGATATATGCTAAGAGGAAGAAAGAAAAAAAATATTATAGATGCAGAGAGGAAATGATGACTTTTGCCAGAGAGGGGGCTCAAAGAAGGCTCTGTGGCGCAGGTAACATATGAGCTCAGCCTTGAAGGCATGAGAATAGGAAAGAAATGGAGGCTGGGCACAGTGGCTCACGCCTGTAATCCCAGCACTTTGGGAGGCTGAGGCAGGCATGTCACTTGAGGTCAGGAGTTCGAGACCAGCCTGGCCAACATAGTGAAACTCCACTCTACTAAAGGTACAAAAATTAGCCAGGCGTGATAGCAGGCACCTGTAGTATCAGCTGCTTGGGAAGCTGAGGCAGGAGAACTGCTTGAACCCAGGAGGTGGAGGTTGCAGTGAGCCAAAATCACACCACTGCACTCCAGCCTAGGTGACAGAGTGAGACTGTCTGAAAAACATAAAAATAAAAAATAAAAAAATTCAAACCAAAACACTACATGGAGCCCAGTAAAACTTGTATGTGTTTTCAAAGCCATCACTACTAAAGTACAAAGCTAAGAAGCAAGCCCAGCACTATACTGTCTTCTGCTGCTGAGATCACATCTCACCAAGGAACAGGGAAATGACCAGTGACTCTGTGGCCAGAATGTTTATGTCAAGTTTCCCACTTGGTTGAAACATTTCCTGGGGTTTTAGTCAGCTTCACAGAACCTGTAAGAACTTCTTTTCCTCTCCCTTCCATGCAATAGATAACATTTCGGGAAGGAGATCCTTAGACTCTCTTTAGTGTAACTTGAGGCTAGATCTTCCAAAGTTAAAAAAAGAGGCTAGAATCACCATGTATGTGAAAAGGATAGCTGGACCTCACAGCCCCAGTTTTTTTCCATACATGAAGATACTTTGTTCTGCTAACTGCAGAGGTTCTGAATTCAGTTTTATTAAAGAGCATCCATGGGTTCCCTTAGAGTTCATTCCACTCAAACCTATTGGCAACATCCCCTCCTGTCATATCTGCCTTCCCTGAGGATTACTGAGTACAACCCCCAAGAAATGAAGGTGAATAAGTATAAGTGAACTCAACTCTCGGTAAGTACTCCCAGAGCAAACTTGCAATTATTTCTCCCACTCAAAATACCCTTTCTTGATCCCACATACCATTTGAGTTACTGCCTCATTTCTCTGCTCATCTTTAAAACAAAAATCTTCAAAAGATTTGTCTATACTCCCTGTCTACAATTTTTTTCTTCTCTTTCCTTTTTGAACCATTCTCATCAAGCTTTTGTCCACTGAAACAGCTTTTATCAAGGCTCCTAGTGACCTCTATGTTGTTAAATTCTACCAAAAATTCCCAGCCCTCATGTTACTTGGCCAACTGGAAGTATTTTTCACAGTTGAGATCATGCTCTCTTCATTGAAGCGTCTTCTTCACTTGGCTTCCAGGATTCCATTCTCTTCTGCTTTTCCTACTACCTTCTGGCCACTTTCTCTTAGCCTCCATTGCTTGTTCCTCTTTACGTTCCTAAACTCTAAATGTTGAGATGTCTCAGGGCTTGGTCCTTGGTCGCCTTCTCTTCTCTAACTATTCTCACTCCTTGGTGATTTCGTCCATATCATATCTTAAATACTATGTAGATGCCTCTGACTCAAAAAATCTTTATCTCTGGCCTGGGCCACTCCTCTGAATGCCAGGCTCAGACATCCCACAGCATATTCAACATCCCCACTTAGGTGTCTAACTGGCAGCTCAAATTAAACACATCCAAAATTGAGCTTCCAATATACTCCCAGCCCTGTTTATCCAACAGTCTTCACCATTACAGTTAGTGTCAACTCTATCTTTCCGACCATTCAGGCCAAAAGCCCTGGCATCACCTTGCACAGAGATGCTATGTTACAGAACTCCAGGGGGCACCAGTCACATTTTCGTCAATGCTATTAGTGTTATGCCGTATGGTGACCCTGCTTTTCTTGATTCCTCTCATATCCTACATCTGATCTGTTAGCAAATCCAGTTGTCTCTACCTTCAAAATGTATCTAAAATCCAACAACTTCTCCCCAGTTCCACTGTTCCTCCCCGACCCAAGCTTGCCCCCTTATAATTTACTTTCCACAAAACAACCACAGCAATCCTTATAAAATATAAGTCAGAACACATCATTCCCCTACTCAAAATTCCCCAATGCTTCCCATCACATTCAAAATTCTTACAATAGCCTACGAGATGCTGCATTGCTTTTTTCTTTTATATTTATCCCTATCTACTAGACTGTATATTTTCTTTCTTTATCTCACTTATTGTCTGCTGCCCATATGTGAATATATGCTCCATAAAGTCAGGGGCTTGGTCCGTTTTATTCACAGATGAAACCCCAGCATATACAGCAATACTTGACACAAAGTATGCACAATATGTATTTGCAAATGGAATAAATGAAATAGATGGGTTAGGGGGAAATCTTGGCACATGAGCCAGAATTATACCAAACCACAATATGACAAGTGAAATGGCATTTGAGGAGCCAGCTAGTGCTGTGACATCGTCAAAGCCCAGGAGATGTTTTCAGTTCCTACTTCCTACCATTGTTTTGACATTTTGTCTGAGGAAGTCTTCCTTCTTTTGTCTCCCGCAGAAAGAAATTGACTATATAGCATAGTAAGGAGCTCCCCCTAGTGGAAGCAACTCCATCAAAGCAATGGAATAGAAAATCATAGCTTGGTGCTTGAAATTACAAAGATGACTGGGGACAAAGGAAGTGACTCCACCATTTCACAGGGAAAGTCCTCAGTGGAAACGTTGGAGTTCCAAAGATTGGATCTGAAGTACATGGTAGAACTTACCAATTCACTTTATTGTTGAACCTCTTTTGCATCTGATGATGGGGAAAAAATAATTCATTTAAAATTGAACAACAGGCCGGGCACAGTGGCTCACGCCTGTAATCCCAGCACTTTTGGAGGTCAAGGTGGGCAGATCACTTGAGGTCAGGAGTTCAAAACCGGCCTGGCCAACGTGAAGAAACTGCTAAAAATACAAAAAAAATAGCCAGGCGTGGTGGCATGCACCCATAATCCCAGCTACTTGGGAGGCTGAGGCGCAAGAATTGCTTGAACCCGGGGAGTGGAGGTTTCAGTGAGCTGAGATCATGCACTGCATTCCAGCCTGGGCAACAGAACAAGAATCTGTGTCAAAAAAAAAAAAAAGTTGAACAACATATGTACCTACTCTCAAGGAATTTAAAATCTGGTAGAGAATGTAACTCATGAATACAAATAAGCACAAAGCAATGAGTATGGATGTAAATCAGTGAATATGAGCCAAAAGAGATGAATAAACTAAAAGATATGACTCACTCAGGAAAAAGAGGGATTATTTTAGGCTGAGGAAATCCAGGAAAACATCTTGGAGGGAGTGGTTCTTGAGCGGCACCTTGAAAGACAAACAAAATTTAAATAAGCAAGTACTACAAGTAAAGACCGAAATCTAGAGAAGGACACATGACGTCAAATTCCAAGCGGGGCTTTGTAAAGGTCACAATTTGGGTGACAACACAGAACCTGAAACCCTCCTCGAAAAGAGCAGAGAGGGATTAGTGAGACAAAGGTCCTTGGCAAAGGTAAACACAGGCAGAAACCAAAGAAAGTCCCTTTCTTCATTTTCCCTTGGATGAAAGGAACACGACTTAAATATATAGGAAAAATAATAATAATAATATAACTGGAAGCAGTTATTCTCTTCCACAGGCATGACTACTGAGGCAATTTTCTGGTGAATCTAGAATAGGGGTCCATAAACTTTTTATTTAAAGGGCCAGATAGGCTGGGCACAGTGGCTCATGCCTGTAATCCCAGAACTTATGGGAGGCTGAGGCGGGTGGATCACTTGAGCCCAGGAGTTCAAGGCCAGCCTGGGCAACATGGTAAGACCTCATCTCTATAAAAAATTTAAAAATTAGCTGAGCATGGTGGGGCACACCTGTAGTTCCAGCTACTTAGGAGGATGAGGTGGGTCGGTCGCTTGAGCCCAGGAGTTCAAGGCTGCAGTAAGCCATGATCACTCCACTGCACTCCAGCCTGGGTGACAGAGTGAGACCTTGTCTTATGAATAAATACATAAATGAACAGATTGTAAATATTTGTGACTTTGTAAGTCAAATACGGTTTCTGTCGCAACTACTCAACTCTGCCATCAGAGGGTAAAAGCAGTGATAGACAATACATAAATAAATAAACAATAAAACTTTATTTACAAAAATAGATGGCAGACCAGATTTGGTCCACAGTCGAAGTCTGCTGACTCCTGGCCTACAATAAGAGAAGCAGTTACATGATTCCAATGCTTAATCACATCAGGCTTTGGTAGCCTGATGTGCTCATGCATGCAACAGAGATACACCTAACTCTAGAGAAGGGCACATCATGTCAGGTTCTTGGGCTGAGTTCCTTCTTTTCTGACCACTGCTTAGATGTATACTGCCAATATTTGCCTCTCTGGTCCTTCTTTTTAATTGCTGGTCACCCTACAAAATCCAGTCTCATTTTGAAAACCCCCATTATAAGAAAGCTATTGATAGGGCTATTGTTAGGGCTCATAAGGTAGCATTTATCTTGATACATTTTCTGCTTTTTCATGGTCTGGACTTCACCTTGGCTTTGCAGGATAAGAAATCCAATCTAGGCCAGGTGCAGTGGCTCATGCCTATAATCCCAACACTTTGAGAGGCCAAGGTGGGTGGATCACCTTAGGTCAGGAGTTCAAGACCAGCCTGGCCAACATGGTGAAACCCCGTCACTACTAAAAATACAAAAATTAGCTAGGCAACACTGGTGGGGGCCTGTAGTCCCAGCTACTCAGGAGGCTGAGGCAGGAGAACTGTTTGAACCCAGGAGGTGGAGGTTGCAGTGAGCCGAGATCATGCTACTGCACTCTAGCCTGGGTGACAAAGCAAGATTCTGTCTCAAAAAAAAGAAAGAAAAAGAAAAAAGAAATTCAACCTAGAGTCATCTGAAATTGGGAAGACTATGAAAGCTCTACTTATCAGTAAAACTCCCAGAGGAATGCCAGTAGCATTAGTTTATATTCAGTAGCATTTCACAGAGAATACCCCGATACTTTGTTACCTGCAAGGGCGGGGGGGGGGGGGGGGCTCCCTTCTTACATGTTTTTCGGCCCTGCAAAAAAAATAGTGACAAATTTGACAATGTGAATACTTACAAGAGGCATTAGCTATAAGCTTTGTGAAAAGAGAGATTATTTTTTAAATTAGAAATAATCTGTTATTTTTACAAAAGCAGTATATATTCATTGTGAAAAATTCAAAAGCAAAAATAACTAAATAGAACATTGTGTTCCCATCACACAGAAATCACCACTGTTAACAGCTTAGTATATATCATTTCAGATATTTTTGTAAGTATGTATAATACGTAATGCATTTTATACCAAAAATGAAATAGTGTACAAAATGTTTTACAACTGCCCTTTTCAGTTAGTGACCTCCACCATTTCATATTAATAAGTTTTCACATCATCTAATAACCATCCATATTCAAATTTCCCTAACTGTCCCAAAAATGTCCTATAAAGCAAATTTGTTCAAATCATGATCCAATCTCAGACCATACGCTGCATCTTAAGTCTCTTTTCATTGAGAACAGTATCCTCTTTCCAGACAAAAATTTTGAAAAAACTTTGTTTCGGCCTGGCACACTGGCTCACACCTGTAATCCCAGCACTTTGGGAGGCCGATGCGGGCAGATCACCTAAGGTCGGGAGTTTGAGACCAGCCTGACCAACATGGAGAAACCCCGCCTCTACTAATAATACAAAAATTAGCCAGTCGTGGTCGTGCATGCCTGCAATCCCAGCTACTTGGGAGGCTGAGGCATTAGAATTGCTTGAACCCGGGAGGTGGAGGTTGCAGTGAGCTGAGATTGCGCCATTGCACTCCATCTGGGGCAACAAGAGTGAAATTCCATCTCAAAAAAAAAAAAAATGTTTCATGCTTTATCCCCAATTCATTTAACAGTTCTTGGTACATAATAGTAACTCAATAAATGTTGGCATAATTAATTAATCAAAAACTTAGGGGGTGGGAGATTCATGCTAGAGTTTATCTCATCAACCCATTACCCTTTATCTCCATTTTATAAATAATAAAAGACCAGAGACATAAAATGACTTCCCAAGGTCACATAGCAAATACATGTGAATTGCTTTCCATACTTCTTTTTATTCTATTAAACCAGGAGTTGGCAAGCTTTTCTATGAAGGCCAAAGAGTTAATAATTTAGAATTTATGAACCAAGAAGCAAGATTGAGGATATTATATAGGTATTTACATGAGAGCAAACAAAATTCTGCAATTTTTTTTTGAGAGGGAGTCTTGCTCTCTGTCCCCAGGCTGGAATGCAGTGGCATGACTCGGCTCACTGCAATCTCCACCTCCCGGATTCAAGTGATTCTCCTGCCTCAGCCTTCTAAACAGCTGGGACCACAGGCGTGCACCACCATATCCAGCTAATTTTTGTGTTTTTAGTAGAGACAGGGTTTCACCATGTTGGCCAGACGGCCTCAATCTCCTGACCTCATGATTCGCCCACCTCGGCCTCCCAAAGTGCTGGGGTTGCAGGCATGAGCCACTGCTCCCAGCCAGTAACATTAATTTTGTATTAATGAAATTAAAAATATAATAACAATTGACTATAAGGTTTTATAATACAGTTCTACTAATGAAAAGGTTAGAATAAAAAAATAAAATTTTGCTCCATTGGGGTTGAAAATTAGTGTTCCCTATCGTCAAATTTGTTGTCACTATTCATCTGAAAACACTCTTAGCTCACAGGTCATAGATTGCCAATCCCTGTACTATCCCATGAAGCTCATTTGTGGTTTTCTTTTAAAGTGAAAGTAACTTTCCTCATAATTGACAGTTACATTTGGGTGCTGGCATATGGGAGCTATATGATAGTAAAGCACCAATGAGGAAAATAATTCCTCAGTCACATCTTTTTTTTTCTGTCGCCCAGGCTGGAGTACAATGGTGTGATCTCGGCTCACTGCAACCTCCGCCTCCCAGGTGCAATCGATTCTCCTGCCTCAGCCTCCCACGTAGCTGGGATTACAGGTGCACGCCACCACACCCAGCTAATTTTTGTGTTTTTAGTAGAGATGGAGTTTCACCTGTGTTGGCCAGGCTGGTCTCAAACTCTTGAACTCAGGTGATCTGCCCACCTGGCCTCTGAGACTGCTGGGATTAGAGGCGTGAACCACTGCACCCAGCCCACGTTTTTTACAAGTATGTATTGTGTTACTTCAGTTACTCTAGTACTTAACTATTGAGCATGCCTGTCTTCTTTCATTTAAATGGACAAAAGGTAGGCTGCATTATGACTGTTGCTTCCATAATTTACCATATGTTAATATTTAATAGAGCTGACCAATTTAAAAATCAGTGCAAGTGAGGACAGTAAAATTGGCCTATGTTGGGGCTTCTTTTCCTCAAATAAAAATATGCTCTTTAAAGATATACAGGAAAATATTCAAAGAGTTAAAAGAACAGAAAGTGGTTGCTTTTGGGGACAACATGGAATGGGGAGGAAAGCGAATGATTCCTCTTTTAAAAAAGCAAATCTTGGCAGGGAACGGTAGTCCACGCCTGTAATCCCAGCACTTTGGGAGGCCAGGGCAGGTGGATCACCTGAGGTCAGGAGTTGAAGACCAGCCTGGCCAACATGGTGAAACTCCATCTGTACTAAAAATAAAAAATTAGCTGGGCATGGTGGCAGGTGCCTGTAGTCCCATCTACTCAGGAGGCTGAGGCAGGAGAATCGCTTGAACCTGGGAAACAGAGGTTGCAGTGAGCCGAGACTGCACCACTACACTCCAGTCTGGGCGACAGAGTGAGACTCTAAAAAAAAAAAAAAGCAAATCTTGTAGAACTATTTGATTTTTTTAAACTACAGTATGATACCTGTAATCCCAGCACTTTAGGAGGCTGAAGTAAGAGTGTCACTTGAGGCTAGGAGTTCAAGACCAGCCTGGGCAACATGGAGAAACCCTTTTTTGTTTTTTCTTTTATTTCTTTTTTTTTTTTTTTTTTTTTTTTTTGCTCTGTCACCCAGGCTGGAGTGCAGTGACACGATCTCCGCTCATTGCAACCTCTGCCTCTTGAGTTCAAGCAGTTCTCCTGCCTCAACCTCCTGAGTAGCTGGGATTACAGGTGTACACCACCACAGCCAGCTAATTTTTGTATTTTTAGTAGAGACAGGGTTTCGCCATGTCGGCCAGGCTGGTCTCAAGCTCCTGACCTCAGGTGATCCACCCACCTCAGACTTCCAAAGTGCTGGGATTACAGGGTGAGCCACTGCACCTGGCTGCAAAACCCTGTCTCTATACAGCATTTAAAAATTAGCCAGCTGTGGTGGTGTGCAGCCATAGTCCCAAGTATTTGGGAGGCTGAGGTGGGGGGATTGCTTGAACCCAAAAGGTTGCAGCTGCAGTGAGTTGTGATCACGCACACCACTGTACTCCAACCTGGATGACAAAGCGAGACCCTGCTTCAAAAAAAAAAAAAAATCTGCAGTATGTACTAGTACAATTTTAATTAAATAAATAAAACCAGAGGCACATTAAGACCTGTCTGGAAAAGGTTTCCTTAATACTTTCCTCCATCCGCCTTCAGGCATGGTTAAGTGTTCCTCTTCTTTGCTCCCCAGAGCATCTTGTCCTCAACTCCCTTCAGATAACTTAACAAGATGTACTGTCACTGTTTGCTGTCTGTCTTCCCGAAGGAACCATGAGCTCCTTGCAAGGAAGCACTATGTATTATTCATTTCAGCTCCTAATTTTTATAACACTAAAAAGGCATTCGTTAAATGAAGTGAAACCAACTAAACCAAATGCACCAAAAATCTCTCAATCTAGGCAAATTAACATCACAATGAGATACCGATCAAAAAGACAGACAAGAAAGCATTGATAAGGATGTGGAGAAATAGAAACCCTCATACATTTACCAGTGAGAACAGAAAATAGTGCAGCCACTTTGGAAAACAGTCCAGAAGTTCCTAAAAACTTAAACATACAGTTACTATATTACCTAGCAATTCCACTCCTAGGCACATACCCAAGAGAACCCAAAACATATGTCCACACAAAAACTTGTATACAAATATTCCCAGAATTATTCATAACAAATGGAAACATCTCAAATGTTTATCAACTGATGAAGGAAAAACAAAATATGGTATATCCATACAATGTAATATCATTTAGCCAGAAAAAGGAAGGGAGTACTGATAATGTTACAAAATGGATGAACCTTGAAACATCATGTTAAGTGAAAGGACCGAGACACAGGCGAGGCGCAGTGGTTCACGCCTGTAATCCTACCACTTTGGGAGGCCAAGGTGGGTGGATCACCTGAGGTCAGGAGTTTGAGACCAGCCTGGCCAACATGGTGAAACCCCACCTCAACTAAAAATACAAAACAATTAGCTGGGCATGGTGGCAGGCGGTACTTCGGGAGGCTGAGACAGGAGAATCGCTTGAACCCAGGAGGCAGAGGTTGCAGTGAGCCAAGATCACGCCATTGCACTCCAGCCTGGGTGACAAGAGGGAAACTGTCAAAAAAAAAAAAAAAAAAAAAAAAAAAAAAGAAAGAAAGAAGTCAGACACAAAAGGCCACATATTGTATGAGTCCATTCATATGAAATGTCCAGAAAAAGCAACAATATAGAGACAGAAAGCAGACAAATAGTTGCCTAGGGCTAAATATGCAAGAAGCGATAAACTGCAAATAGCTTCTGGGAATTCGTGGGGGATAGGATAAATGTTCTAAAACTATATTGTGATGATGGTTACGTAACTCCGTAAATTTATTTTTATTTATTTGTTTAGTTTTGACACAGGGTCTCACTGTCACCCAGACTGGAGTGCAGCAGTGCAATCACAGCTCACTGCAGCCTCAACCTCCCTGGCTCAAGTGATCCTCCCACCTCAGCCTCCAAGTAGCTGGGACTCCTGGCTAAATTTATTTTTTAAATTGTACACTTAAAATCAGTGGATTTGATGGTATGTAAAGTACAAGGCTGGGGGAAAAATTCTTCAATCTATTACATTATTCCCATGTGCCTCCCCACCGGCCTTGGTGAGATGAGCTTTAAACATACAGCAAATTGTGCTCTTAAAATCAGTGGATTTGATGGTATGTATAGTACAAAGCTGGGGTAAAAATTCCTCAATCTACTACATTATTCAGTTTCTTTCTAAATTAATTGTTTTTCCTCAAGTAGACTACCTCAATTAAGAACTGTGGTAAGGCAGGGCGTGATGGCTCATGCCTGCAATCTCAGCATTTTGGGAGGCCGAGGCAGGTAGATCACCTGAGGTCGTCAGGAGTTCAAGACCACCCTGGCCAACATCGTGAAACCAAGTCTCTACTAAAAATACAAAAATTAGCTGGCAGGAGTCTGTAATCTCAGCTACTCGGGAGGCTGAGGCAGAAGAATTGCTTGAACCCAGGAGGCGGAGGCTGCAGTGAGCCGAGATTGCACCACTGCATTCCAGCCTGGGTGACAGAGTGAGACTCCATTCCCACCCCCACCCCCAACCCCCCACGGAAAAGGAAAAAGAAAAAAGAAAAAGAAGGAACCGTGGTGAAGGAAGTTGCTGAGGCATTTCTGTAGGTTGGGGCTTGGGGCTGTGCTGCATAGACATCACAGCCAGCATCTCAGTCTGTGAAATTGTAGGATGTCTTGAGGTGTACAACGTGTTTCCAGTTGAGTGTCCCCAGTGTGTAGTCTGGACACTCCCTGGCCTCTCTGGCAATTTAAGTGTGCGAGTGCCTAAGGCCTCTACACCAAGCAAGAAACTAGTCAGGTAACAAACTCCTTGAAACTCCCCAGCGCAGTTCACAACCAGGTGAATTGTTCTATTACGGCATATCCATGAAAATGATTGATCAAATGACTGATTTGATTTTCTCTTTTTTTTTTTTTTTTTGGAGTGTGGGCAACTGGGTAAGTGCTTATTGGGCAAGGATGTCTGACCAGATCAGCTAAGAGATACAAAGTTCACCCCGTCGGCCCGCTCCCCTGGGATACTACAGGGGAAAGCTCATCTCTCCAAGGCCGGTGGGGAGGCGCAATGGGATTTAACAGCATCTCTCCTGGCTAGGGGAAAGGCTGGGACAAAGTCACTCCTTTGTTGCATTGCGAGAAGGGCCAAACCTGCTACAATGTCAGGGTGAGGTGTCTGTTCTCGGGGCCTCCCAGTGACCGGGAAGCTCACGCGGCTGCTCCCAGACTTTAGTGGCTTTCGCCGCTGCAGCCTCACTGTCCGGCTCGCGCGCGGCGAAGCGAGCAGGCAGTGGAGGGAGGAAAGCAGCCGGAAACGGCTCGGCACTTCGACGCTCCCTCCTCGCAGCCGTCGGGGAATCCCAGGCGGTCCCCCATGACCCTGCGCGTGACCCCCCTAGTCACGTAGCGGCCGTCCCTTTCGGGATACGCCATTGTTTTTGGCGCCCCCTGGTGACCGGAGGAGAGCAGAGCTGGCGCAGCCAGAGCTAGCCGGATGGTCCGCTGGACCCTACTTGAGCCGGCGGCGCGGTCTCCGCCTCTGCGGCAGAAATGGCCGCGTGGGTGGCACCGGAGCGGGCTCCGCGACGCCCAGGGAGCTGACCCAAGCCGGAGCTGGAGTGAATGGAAGCTGCTTCCACCCTTTCCTCCCTTCTCCCAAAAGGGAAAAGGACCCTTGCGAAGACAGAATGGCCAGATAATTATTTGAACATGGATTCCAGCTCCCTTGTGCAAAAACGGAAGAATAAAGCAGGGTTTTGGGGTGTTTGATTAAGAGGATTTTGCTTATGTCCTGAAAACATGTATTTGTAGCCCCGAGATTGTGAGCTAATTATTAATTCTGAGTCTCATTCTCCTCTTCTATAAAATAGGGACAATAATGATGACGTGTTTGTGAGGATTCACAGGTGTTTGTGAGGATCAAATGAAATAACCCACCTGAAGGTTTTAGCAGACAGGTTAAAGCTAGTTGTTTACCTTTAAACTAGCTAGTTTAGCAACTATTTCAGGTCTCAATAAACACCTTCGGGAAACGAAAGGATTTTGACACTATATAAAATAAACACGTGCCTAAGGTGAATTGTTCATTAAAAATGTATGTATATGGGAATTAAAATCGTCCATCTCCAAACTCGGCCCGCACACTGAGAATCAAAAACCATCCTTTAGCATATGCACAAAAAGGACTTTGCTAGTCCCCTGTCTTCATTCGCATTACTTTTCCAGAACGTTCCCTGCAGGCAAATCCACAAAGACCCATCAACTCGTCAATGAAGAGCACCAACATTTCCCACACTACAATTTTTTGAATGCCTCATTAAAATCCTCCCCTTGCTGCCCCACCAATCCTAGACTGTTGGTATCTCATGATTCTTACCCAATCCCAATCAAATCCCCGCATTTAAAGACCCACAGCCTTAAGTTCAATTTTCCTTTCTCAATAAATTCTGATCTTACTTTTCCTCTCTGAAGCACAGCTAAAGCTTCACGAAGTGGTGTTCTTTCATAGTGAGGGAAGCAATAAATGCAGCTTTGTCATATCATGAGGTGCACTGATGATATATGGGGAGCCAGCATTTCATTTTTATTTTTTTATTTTTGTAGAGATGGGGTCTTGCTATGTTGCCCAGGTTGATCTCCAACTACTGGCCTCAACTGATCCTCCCACTTATTCAATTAATGGTGTTAGAATAATTAGCTAAGCATTTGCACGAATTGTTTTTTTTTTTAAAGATGGAGTCTCACTGTCGCCCAGGCTTGAGTGCAGTGGCGTGATCTCGGCTCACTGCAACCTCTGCCTCCTGGGTTCAAGCGATTCTCCTACCTCAGCCTCCCAAGTACCTGGGATTGCAAACACACGCCACCACACCAGGCTAATTTTGTATTTTTTAGTAAAGACAGGGGAATCTCACCATGTTAGCCAGGCTGGTCTTGAACTCCTGACCTCAAATGATCCACCTGCCTCAGCCTCACAAACTTCTGGGATTACAGGTGTGAGCCACCATGCTGTGCCTCACACTTGTTTCATTCCCAGTGAACTACATACTGGCAAGCCTAATGCAGCAAGGGTTCCCTGAATTGTAATTGTCAGGTTGGCCTGTGATGTGGCTGGGTCCTGGATGATTTTTATGGTGATATCTTCTTCTTTACCCCAGCCACCAGGCCCACCATCCTCCGGCTAAGCTTGAGTTTCCTCCATTCATTCAAATCTTCGAACAGGTGCACTCACAAGAGTGGTATCATTTGATTCTCCTAAGTCGTTCAGTTTTATGTTATTGTCCCTCATTGTTTTCTTTTCAGCTGTGTTTCCATCAATTCTCTTGATTTTTCTAGGAAAAGAGTCATATTTATTACAATTTATGGTGAATATTTGCCAGCCAGTAAAACACAGTGTTTATTACGGTTTTTTTATTCGTTTTTTTTTTTTTTTTTTTTTTTTTTTTTTTGAGACGGAGTCTCACTCTGTTGCCCAGGCTGGAGTGCAGTGGCGCCGTCTCGGCTCACTGCAACCTCTGCCTCACAGGTTCAAGCGATTCTCCTGCCTCAGCCTCCCAAGTGGCTGGGACTACAGGTGCACACCACCATGCCTGGATAATTTTTTTTGTGCGTGTGTATTTTTAGTAGAGACAGGGTTTCACCATGCTGGCCAGTCTGGTTTCGAACTCCTGACCTCATCATGCGCCTGCCTTGGCCTCCGAAAGTGCTAGGATTATAGGCATGAGCCACCACGCCTAGCCTATTAGTATGTTTTTATATTTGTTCGGGCCTTACCCCCTTCCTTACTCCTCTTTTTTGGCAAATAATCATTAAGTTTGTTTTCAAAATTACCATGTTTGTCAGTAGAAAAAGAACAAAACAATTTTATAAATACATCATATGTAAAACTCCCATTTTAGAGAGTACAATCCCAATAAAGTAAATTATACATATATCTACATTCACAGAGTTAGAAAAAAAGATTTAAAAGAAATATGCCAGGCTGGGCATGGTGACTCACACCTGTAATCCCAGCACTTTAGGAGGCCGACATGGGAAGATCTCTTGAGTCCAGGAGTTTAAGACCAGCCTGGGCAACATGGCGAAACCCCATCTCTCCTAAAAATGCAAAAATTAGTCAGGTGTGGTGGCACTTGCCTGTAGTCCCAGCTACTTGGGAGGCTGAGTTGAGAGGGTGGCTTGAGCCCAGGAGGCAAATGTTGCAGCGAGCTGAGATGGTGCCACTGCACTCCAGCCCGGGTGACAGAGCTAGACCCTGCCCTCAAAAAAGAAAAAGAAAAAAGAAATAAAAGAAATATGCCAAAATATTCAGTGTTTACCTATGATTTATTTTTATTTTGCTGTATACTTTTATGATTATTTAAATATTAACTATATTTTACATAATTTTGTGACATTCTAAATAGTTGACTTTTATAACAAACCTAAAATTATTCAATAAACAAAATAGTTTTACAAAACATTCTGGCAGACAGAGAAGGAAAAAGTTTGCATTTCTTTTCTTTTTTTTTTGTTTTTAGAAACAGTCTCATTCTGTTACCCAGGCTCAGACACCATCGCAATTCACTGCAGTCTCGAACCCCTGGCCTTATATAATTCTCCTGCCTGGGCCTCCCAAAGTATTACAATCATGAGCCACTGTATGTGGTCAAGATTTTTTTTTTTTTTTTTTTTTTTGAGACAGGGTCTCACTCTGTTGCCCAGACCAGAGTGTAGTGGCATGATCAGGGATCATTGTAGCCTTGACCTCCTGGGCTCAGGCTATTCTCTCATTTCAGCCCCCACATGTAGCTGAGACCACAGGCATGCATTGCTTGTGGTTTTGTAGAGCTGGTGTCTCACTATATTTCCCAGGCTGGCCTTAAACTCCTGGGCTCGAGCAATCCTCCTGCCCAAAGTGTTGGGATTATAGGCATGAGCCACCATGACCAGCCCTAAGATTCTGTTTTAAATTCTATTTTCCTGAGCCAAAATTAGATTGTGGTCCATCCAGGATATTTAAAACCAACCTCTATCATGTTCCCAGTAGTAAAATTTAAATTCCTTTACTTACAGTTTTTCAAACAGCTTTGCCCTGTGCTTGATGAATAGGAAATTGGTCGAGTATTCATATCTGCTTATTTCTCCTGCCCCAAAAACTAATCTTCCATTATGATACAGTTTTTCTAAGCAATGTCAATATTTTTACTTGAAATACATATGGAAAGTTCACAGGCTTTGGAGCCAACTTATCATTCACGTACTGACTGTATAACCTTAATCCTGTTACTATCTTCTGCTGAGACTCATTGATCTCCTTTTAAATGGGATTAAGAATTCTTACCATATTATTGACATGTTCAATACATAGTGATTGAAAATCATATTTATTATCATTTTTTTAATTGAGAGGGGGTCTCACCCTGTCACCCAGGCTGGAGTGCAGTGGTGAGACCAACCTCGGCTCACTCCAACCTCTGCCTCCCAGGTTCAAGTGATTTTCCTGCCTCAGCATCCAAAGTAGCTGGGATTACAGGCATGGGCCACCATGCCCTAACTTTTTTTCTTTCTTTCTTTTTTTTTTTTTTTTTTTTTAAGTAGAGACAGGATATCACCATGTTGGTCAGACTGGTCTCGAACTCCTGACCTCAAGTGATCTGTGTGACTCAGCCTCCCAAAGTGCTGGGATTACAGGCCTGAGCCACTGTGACTAGCCCTATTATCACTCTTGATTGTTCCTTAATAGAAGGAAAATAGCAAAGGGTACCCAAAACACCCATATTTTTCAAGACAGTTATTTTCTTTTTTAAAAATTTCATTTAATTTTTACAACACTATGTGATTGAGACTATTATTTCCATTTGACATATTTTCAGATTGAAGAAGGTGGTAGTCCCACTATATGGGTCTGATGACATCTGGAATACTCTGTATAGTGCTGCTTTTTGGAAGAGAATAGTAAACTGCAGGGAAACTGCAATAGATGGTGAAAATGTTCATGAAAAGGAATTGATGTTAAGCACATTCAAGGAGACTTCACCAAATTCTACTCCCAAAGTTAAGCATAATCTCTCAGAGATGTCTTATAATGTTAAAATTTATAGAGGAGGTTGAGACTACTAGCTATGATTTTCCTCAACTTCCCTTCTTAACATCTTCATACTTTCCTAAAGGCCCAGTCAAAAGATAAAATGAGCCGGGCACAGTGGCTTTCATTTGTAATCCCTGGACTTTGGGAGGCCAAGGCGGATAGATCGCTTGAATCCAGAAGTTTAATACCAGCCTGGGCAACATGGTAAAACCCCATCTCTACCCCAAAAATACAAAAATGAGTTGGGCATGATGGCACATGCCAGTGCTCCCAGCTACTCGGGAGGCAGAGGTGGGAGAATCACCTGAGCCCAGGAAGTCAAGGCTGCAGTGAGCCATGATCGTGCCACTGCACTCCATC